GCTCCTAGCTTATGCAATTATTTCAACTTTTTTTTTTTTTTTTGCTAGTCCCGTGAAACTGCTGCCTGGAATTTTCTATTCTCCTGCTACCACCCTGTATTATTCCTGTCTCAGTTTCCTTGAAGAAATAGCAGTTGCGCTGGGACCTGAAGGAGTGGGAGAGGTCAGCCAGGCTAGGGGTGGAGGAGAAACGGCAGGCCAGGGAGGGCTGGGTCTTCAGGAAGACAGAGGAGGTGCTGACCGGAGGTCTGGAGGTCAAGCCTCGCGCTGCATCTGATCCTCAGCCCTGGCGCCCCTGCCCACCTGGAAGTCCTATATGGTTGCTTGTCTCCCTGCCCTCAGGCATCCCCTGCCCCCACTGACATAGCCGCTTGGATATCCACTGGCTGTCTCCCTCAACCCCAGCATGGATTAGACCCAGATTGCAAGTGGGACTTGCTCAAAGCCAGGCCCAGACCGCTGAGGTTGCCATACCGTGCAGTTTCCTACCGTAAAAGAACTGCTTTCAAAAAGTCAGCATTGGATGGCTGTGTGTCCTTTGGCAGCAAGGCCTGCAGGTGGCAGCGTGGAGATGGCTCAGGAAGTGTGTGCTGTAGTGGAAACAGAAGTGCTGCTCTTGGTAGGAGCAAGGGCGTGAAGATGCTGGGTCTGCTCTGATCTCAGGGCTGGCTTGGGCTGGGGAGAAATCCATTCTGACCCTCCGGACCAGGCCACTGAGAAGCCAGCTCTCTGATATGGATGTGGTCAGCCTGCCCTGGACCTCACACCCCGTCTGTCTACTTCCCAACCAGCTGCCTGCTCTACCAACCTCCAGAAACTCAGCTCTGCTTCCAGCTGAAAAGAATCTGCCCAGGCAGAGCAGGAAGCCTGTGGCATCCTCTGCCCAGCTCCACCTTGTGGGAGCAGGTGTCTCCTTTGTGGATGCTCCTCTCAAACCTGGTGATTGATTTGAGACCCGAAGCCAAGGTCATATTGCAAATAAGTTCAGAAGTAATTGAATGTAAAAATGTTTTTGTCAGCCTTTAGCCTGACTGTGGGGAATGTCTCATGCTTATAACCAGACTGAGATCATAACATGAAACTCACAAGGCCGTCGTTAGGTTATGTCTGCATCGAGGCGGTAGATGGCAGTGTGTGTAAAAAGCCCCCCTGCATATCTGGAGGCTCATCACTGCATCAGCCCACTTCCCCTGACTGTGGTGGTGAAGTGTCAAAGGAGGAAGGAGGAATGACTGGGAATGTCAAAGGAGTCCAGCATAGCTGGGTAGAACCACGTGCTACAGTTGGAAGCGGGGCATTTGTTGGTAATATGAATAGCAGCTTCACCCAGGTGAAAGTGGTTTTCCCCTGTTTCAAGCACCTCAGATCAGCAAGTCAGTGTTTGGGTGTTTTCAGATGTTATTGTGAATCCTGAGAAAATACAATTAATCTGTGCCTCTTTCTGATAACTTTTTTCTTATTCTAAGTCAGAAGAGCAGAGCAGGGTGGCACGGTCGGTATTCTCATCTCAAATTTGCACTTCCTATCTATTCTTTTAAATTTAGACACAGCCAGTGAGGTGCGGTGGCTCACACCTGTAATACCAGCACTTTGGGAGGCCAAGGCGGATGGATCAGGAGTTTGAAACCAGCCTGGCCAACACAGCAAAACCCCATCTCTACTAAAAATACAAAAAAATTAGCTTGGCTTGGTGGTGCGCGCCTGTAATCCCAGCTACTCAGGAGGCTGAGGCAGGAGAATCACTTGAACCCAGGAGGCAGAGGTTGCAGTAAGCTGAGGTCGCACCACTGCACTCCAGCCTGGGCAACAAGAGCGAAACTCCATCTCAAAAAATTAAAAATAAAAAATTAAATTAGGACACAGCCGAGGAAGTTTCTCAACTTAGAATCATTGCTGGGGCCAGTGTTTAGAGGACTGGGTTGGCCCTGCCAAAGTGGGCAGGCCAGTGTGTGTAGCATTGCAATTCATGTTTTATCTTTATGGGCCTTCTACGTTTCCAGTGGCCCCAAAGTCACAGGTGTCTGGAAGCAAAAATGTCAGGGCCATCTCTCCCTTATGTTTTAATGTCTCTGGTCTAGTCAAATGGGGGCACTCAACTCACCAAAGCATGTATGCAAGCCCTGAGACTTGATCCCTGAACGAGCGAGTTATTCTTTTTTTTTTTTTTTTTTTTTTTTTTTGAGACTGAGTCTCACTCTGTAGCTCAGGCTGGAGTACAGTGGCACAATCTCGCTCACTGCAACCTCTACCTCCCGGGTTCAAGCAATTCTCCTGCCTCAGCCTCCCGAGTAGCTAGGATTACAGGCACGTGCCACCATGCCCAGCTAATTTTTGTGTTTTTTTAGTAGAGATGGGATTTCACCATGTTGGCCAAGCTGGTCTTGAACTCCTGACCTCATGATCCACCCTCCTCGGCCTCCCAAAGTGCTGGGATTACAGGCGTGAGCCAGCCACCGTACCTGGCCACGAGCAAGTTATTCTTATCAGAGAAAAGCATCACCCAACAGCACAGCATCTGATAAGCACATTTGGGCTTCAGTTCTGTATTTGTTCAACTAGAGAGCTGAGTGCATGTCCTATGCTGAGTACTGTTAGGGTTGGGAATCTAGACACAGCTGGCTGTCACAGGGTGAACCCCAAAATTGGGGTTCAGCCTAAGAGGTCACATAGGTTCTTGGCTTTGGGCAGGAAGGAATTCAAGAGCAAGCCTACAGAGTAAAGTGAAAGCAAAGGAGTAACAGGGTGGCTACTCCATAGGAAGACCAGCCCTGAAGGCTGCTGGTTGGCTGTTTTTGTGGTTATTTCTTGATCAAATGCTAAATGAGGGGTGGATTATTCATGAGTTTTCTGGGAAAGGGGTAGGGAATTCCTGGAACTGAGGATTCCCCTTTCATACCATGTAGGGTAACTTCCACATGTTGCCATGACATTTGTAAACTGTCTTGGTGCCGGCGGGCATTTCCTACAGCATGCCAATGTGTTATAATTAGCATATGCCGAGCAGCCAGGAGACCTGACGTTGCTTTCATTGCCTTGTTGGTTTTGGCGGGTTTTGACTGGCTTCTTCACCACATACTGTTCTATTAGGGGTTCTTTGTGACCTGTATCTTGTGAAACCAGTCCTGCTGAATTCCTGTGTCAGCAGGGTCTCCTCCAGCAAATGCAGAGGCTCCCCAGGAGAGCACAAGGGGGCTCAATCAGTACGTGTAGGATGAAGGCATGGTGATGCTCCAGGAGGGACGATGGATGACTCCTCAGAAGCCTTCTCTGCTGCTGGTCCATAGTAAAGCCCCTTGAGTGCCTTCCTTACCTCCTTCACCATCATCTTGGTAACCACCAAGGTGTTGACTTGAGTGAGTTTCTGGCAAGAGCTCCAGAGCTCAGGTCTGCTGCACTAGGGAGGGAGGTGCACCCTTCCATTAAGAATGGGCTGGACGTGGTGGCTCACACCTGTAATCCCAACACTTTGGGAAGCCGAGGTGGGCACATCACCTGAGGTTGGGAGTTTGAGACCAGGCTGCCCAACATGGCAAAACCCCGTCCCTACTAAAAATACAAAAAAATTAGCCGGGCGTGTTGGCGACTCCCAGCTACTCAAGAGGCTGAGGCAGGAGAATCGCTTGGAGCCGAGATCATGCCACTGCACTGCGCTCCAGCCTGGGCAACAAGAGCACAACTCTGTGTCAAAAAAAAAAAAAAAAAAAGAATGTATCCAAGGCAAGAATCATTGCCCTAGGGCTCAGGGATATGGCTGTGGAGGTCTAGCCAGGGGCCAGGGTCCTGAACCTGCCAGCAGCCGAGGCTTCTTACAACCAGCTCCTCCCCATCAGGCAGATGTTCAAAATTCAGAGTCTTGTGCTGGGAGACTCGGCCCACTCCAGGCTTCTCCAGGGCTCCTTCGGCGACAGTGAGACTTCCCGTGGGTTTACTTACCTTCTTTTTTCTGCTGAGCCCTTTTACCTTTTGCCTTTGACATGGACTCTGAGGCCCTGGTGAGAGTCGTGAGGGCAAGGCTCCTGCTAGAGCTTCTAAAAACTCCTTTGGTAGCTCGCCCGCCAGGCAGTGACCAGATATTCTTCAGGCACAAAGGGTGCCTTGCGCTTATTTTTATTTTTATTTTTGTTTGTTTTTTTGAGATAGAGTCTCGCTCTGTCTCCCAGACTGGAATGCAATGGTGCAATCTCAGCTCACTGCAACCTCCACCCCTCTGGTTCAAGCAGTTCTCCTGCCTCAGCCTCCCAAGTAGCTGGGATTACAGGCACGCACCACCATGCCCAGCTGATTTTTGTATTTTTGGTAGAGATGGGGTTTCACCATGTTGGCCAGGCTGGTCTCAAACCCCAGACCTCAGGTGATCCACCTGCCTTGGCCTCCCAAAGTGCTGGGATCTCTTCTTATGCACATCACCATGTCTTTTTGTGAGTTCAACTCTTGATTTAAAGAAAAAAAAAAAAAAAACCCAACCCCTGTTCTTACTGTGCATTTGAAAATAGCAATGAATCATCCGAATGGCTTTGCCATTTTAAGCAGTTCCTCTCCAGAGAACATTTTCCTCCCTTTTGGTGTGGGTACAAGTTTTCCTTTATGCAGATTAATTTTAAATTGGAAAATCTACAAATACGAAAAGCATGCGTACACAGTTTATTTCCTTTATTATGTTAATGGACCCGAAGCACTGTTTTTCCCAAGAAGTCAACTTTTACATACTAGAATTACAACCAACCAGCCCTACACGGATCCCCACGCATCAGTTCTAGGCTGACTATGTAAAGAGTTGTCTCTTGATAGGGAGAGCAGTTTTCTGCTACTTTGCAGACTTTCCCTGTAGGGTGAGTGTAGCCACTGATATCTGAACAGATACTCAATCCTCACCCTTAGTTCCTTTTCTCACCCCATCCCACCTCCAAGCAAACATCAAACTCAGTTACAATGCAGTGGTTTCTGTCACTGTTTCCCCAGAAAAACGACCCACACGTTTCCCATTTGTGCTTGTTATTTAGAAAGCCAAGCTTGGCCCTGCTGGCAACAAAGTCATCAGTCCCTCTGAAGACAGGAAACAACCTTCCAACAACCTGGACCGAGTGAAACTCACCGACTTCAATTTCCTCATGGTGCTGGGGAAGGGGAGTTTTGGAAAGGTAAGAGGACAGTCATCTGCAAATGGGAGGGGCTTCTGCAGAGAATGTTGAATCAATTTTGTTCTCCCCGCAGTTTCCAGAACAGCACATTAGATTTCCCTGTGATTCGAAGTCAGGAGATCGAGACCATCCTGGCTAATACGGTGAAACCCCGTCTCTACTAAAAATACAAAAAATTAGCCAGGTGTGGTGGCGGGCACCTGTAGTCCCAGCTGCTTGGGAGGCTGAGGCCGGAGAATGGCATGAACCCGGGAGGGGGAGCTTGCAGTGAGCTGAGATTGCACCAGCCTGGGAGACAGAGCGAGACTCCGTCTCAAAAAAAGATTTCCCCATGATTTGTACAGTCGTCCAGAAGACCACCAGGATGGCAAAATGGTAGAAAGGAGAGGTTTATTGGTGATATCAGTTTGCAAACCCGGAAAAGAAAGTCTGTGGTGTGAAATGAAGGTGCCGTCTCTTTGACGAGAGAAAGGGCAGGTTGGGTTTTATGCCTCACAGGGTCCATGTTACACAGTAGAGTCATCCATATTCAACAGGTTTGGGGGGAAAGCTATACATATCTGTGAGGGAAGCCTAGCACAGGTACAACGGATGAACATATATGTAACATGCATCTCATGTTCACTTTGGTGTGGGGACTTAGCATTAAAATGAGGTGGAATTTGCCTAGGCACGGTGGCTCATGCCTGTAATTCCAGCACTTTGGGAGGCCAAGGCAGGCGGACCACTTGAGGTCAGGAGTTTGAGACCAGCCTGGCCAAAATGGTGAAAGCCTGTCTCTACTAAAAATACAAAAATTAGCTGGACATGGTGGTGTGCACCTGTGATCCCAGCTACTCGGGAAACTGAGGCAGGAGAATCACTGGAACCTGGGAGGTGGAAGTTGCAGTGAGCCAAGATTATGCCTCTGCACTCCAGCCTGGGCAACAGAGGGAGACTCCATCTCAAAAAAAAAAATTTAAGGGCTGGGCACAGTGGCTCACTCCTGTAATCCCAGCACTTTGGGAGGCTGAGATGGGCAGATCACAAGGTCAGGAGATTGGGAGCATCCTGGCTAACACGGTGAAACCCCATCTCTACTAAAAATACAACAAATTAGCTGGGCATGTTGGCAGGGCCTGTAGTCCCAGCTACCCGGGAGGCTGAGGCAGGAGAATGGCATGAATCCGGGAGGCAGAGCTTGCAGTGAGCCAAGATCACGCCACTGCACTCCAGCCTGGGGTACAGAGCGAGACTCTGTCTCAAAAAAAAAAAAAATTTAAAAAGGTGGAATTTGGCTTTTTAGATCAAAAGGTGAACCACAGGCCACAAAAACAGTTCGTGTGCAGGCTCTGCAAGCTGCTGAAACTGGCTTAAGGCCTGCAGATGCATTATAGAAAAGAATGTTTGTAAGGCCAGTCCTCTGTCCAGTCTGAGTCATAGTGATCTGGGTTGTCAATCAGAGTTAGGAGGGGCCTGGTAGCTCCTACTACTGAGGAATTTAGCAAGAGTGGTTTATCTTGTAGCTGTAGGGATTTAAAAATTTGCCATGCCAGCTGGGCCCTGAACCCTCACAACCCATAGATAACTGTTTCCTTAACTTTAGTGTTACCAGAAAGGGGTCCTGATCCAGACCCCAAGAGGAAGGTTCTTGGACCTCAAGCAAGAAAGAATTCAGAGCGAGTCCATAGAATAAAGCGAAAGTCAGTTTGTTAGAGAAGTAAAGAAACGAAAGAACAGCTACTCCACAGGCAGAGCAGCAGCATGGGCTGCTTCACTGAGTATACTTACAGGTATTTCTTGATCATATGCTAAACAAGGGTTTTATTATTCATGAGTTTTCTGGGAAAGGGGACGGGAATTCCCAGAACTGAGGGTTCCTCCATCTTTTAGACTATATAAGGTAACTTCCGGGCATTGCCATGGCATTTGTAAACTGCCAGGGCGCGGGTGGGAGTGTCTTTTCGCATGCTAATAATGCATATAATGAGCAGTGAGGGTAGCCAGAGGTTATTTTCATCGCCATCTTGGATTTGGTGCATTTTGGCCCGTTTCTTTACTGCATCCTGTTTTATCAGCAGGGTCTTTCTGACCTGTGTCTTGTGATACCAGCCCTGCTGACCTCCTATCTCATCCTGAGACTAAGAATGCCTGACCTCCTGGGGATGCGGCCCAGCAGATCTCAGCCTTATTTTTCCCATCCCTTATTCAAGATGGAGTCGCTCTGGTTCAAACGCCTCTGACATTAGGGTCCATCTTAGTTGATAAAGAGGCATCTGTTTGGTCTCTCGGATCAGAGTGCACAGTCCTCACCTGGTTTCTACTTCCTTAAAAACAACTGCATCCAAAAAGCTATAGTGGGTTCACTGCGTGTTACTATTTCTCAGTGTTCGGAACAGAGGGGATGCTCAGAAATGCTGGTTGATGAATAGTTTTCACAACTAAAAATTAAACGTGAACTTGTAGTAAACAAATACAATCATAAGAGATCCTGGCATGGGGTCTTCAGCAATTTGCCTGCGTCTCCAGTTGGTTTCTGTGACCCTACATTTCTTGATAGACCCAGGAACTAATTTCCAGCCTAGGCTCTTGACTTGTGGGATTATAAATGTCAGTCAGTTTTCACTCTAAGGATACTCCTGAAAAATGGGCATAATTCCAGACGAATCCTGATACAGAATGTTGAGTATTGATTTTCGTAGCCAAAACAGTGCCATCATGCGGCCGTGTCCTATACCATTTACAAATCTTGGCAGGGTTGAAGTTACGCAAATGCTGAAGGGACTGAATTTGTAGTGATGTGTAGAATTTCCAAATTTGCACATAAAGTTTAATATTATTATATCCCTCATTGACAGAGGTGCACAAACTGTCACTGAGCCATCACCTGGCCTGGTTCCTTCCCTCCACCCCCAAGATGTGTGCTTACAAGTGTTCAGGTTGTTCTTGACGTGTTCTCAGGTGATGCTTGCCGACAGGAAGGGCACAGAAGAACTGTATGCAATCAAAATCCTGAAGAAGGATGTGGTGATTCAGGATGACGACGTGGAGTGCACCATGGTAGAAAAACGAGTCTTGGCCCTGCTTGACAAACCCCCGTTCTTGACGCAGCTGCACTCCTGCTTCCAGACAGTGGTAAGGACCCTGGAGTGTACTTCTGTGATGCAGCACCCAGCTCTCAGGGCTGTGCCTCAGCCCAAAGCTTCTTAGCATCCTTGTTCCTTTGGAGAAGGCTGGAGAAAGGTGTGATGTGATGTCAAGCAGAGGTGGCTGGGGACCACCTCCCACCTGTCTCTCTGGTAGATATGGGGCATGCCTTTTCTGTGATGGCCTCTGCTTGGCATTCATGTCATTTAATTGAGCAAACATTTCTTTCTCTCTTTTCTTTGTTTTGAGACAGGATCTTGCTCTCTTGCTCAGGCTAGAGTGCAGTGGCGCAGTCACGGCCCACTGCAGTCTCAACTTCCCAGGCTTAGGCGATCCTCCTGCCTCAGCCTGCCAAGTTATTGGGACCACAGATGTACACCACCACACTCAGCTGATTTTTGTATTTTTAGTAGAGACAGGGTTTTGCCATGTTGCCCAGGCTGGTCTTGAACTCCTGAGCTCAAGCAATCCCCGTACGTTGGCCTCCTAAAGTGCTGGGATTACAGGTGTGAGTCACTGCGCCTCGCCTTAATTCAGCAAACATTTCCATGAAAGGTTTTCTTCATGCCTGGTACTGTGCTAAGACTTGGGGATACAAAAACAAAAAAAAATAACTCACGGTCTTGGCTTTTTTTTTTGTAATGGAGTCTCACTCTGTTGCCCAGGCTGGAGTGCAGTGGTGCGATCTCTGCTCACTGCATCCTCCACCTCCCAGGCTCAAGCGATTCTCCTGCCTCAGCCTCTCTGGTAGCTGGGATTACAGGCTCGTGCCACCACGCCCGGCTCATTTTTGTATTTTTAGTAGAGACAGGGTTTCACCATGTTGGCCAGGCCGGTCTTGAACCTCTGACCTCAGGTGATCCACCCGCCTCAGCCTCCCAAAGTGTTGGAATTACAGGCATGAGCCACCTCACCCGGCCACAGTCTTGGCTTTTTAAAACCACTGGTTCAGCTGCCAAACGTGGCATTGGAGCATAAGGAGATTTGATTTTGTAAGAGAGCATGTTCTTGTTCAGTGGCACACAACAGGGACTGGCAAACTGTGGTCTGTTCTCTATGGCCCCTGAGTTTAGGAAAGGTCACAACAAGGAAATCCAAAGAGTCATATATCGTGACATTCACATTTCAGCATCCATAAACAGCAGTTTTGGGACATCGCCACACTCCTTCCTGTGTCTGTCATCTACAGCTGCTTTTGAACCATGAAGGCAGCGTTGAGTCACGGCAAGAGACCCTCACAGCCTAAAGTATTAACCTACATACTGTCTGGCCCTTTATGGAAAAAGTTTGCTGAGCTCTGTCATAAAGTAAAACTAAATAGAGGACAAAAAAGAACATTCCAGAGCACTCATCTGTCCGTTGCAGGGTTTGCAAGTGGCCTGCAAGAAACAGAGATGTTTAGATGGCACCATAGTAAGATGTTGCCAGAGCTGGTCTTTCCACTCCTCAGAGGCTGTCCATTTTAAATATGACTCCGTAATCAGTAGCTATAATTGATGCGATTATTACTATTTTCAACTGCCCATTGATCAGAGATCGACTTTCTGTCTTACGCCTCTTTGAAAACTCTTGGGAGAAGCCTCTTGGTGCTTTTGGGCTTTAGAGTCTCAAAATGGCTTTGCAGCCACACGGAGCCCCTAGGTGTGCAGCAGCGGCTGTGGACTCCGGCACCGGCCACTACGTGTCAGCCTAGCGCTGGCGGCTGGATGAGCTTCCTGCTCCCAGTCATTCCCACTGACTCTGAATCAAGTCACACCAGGGAGAGACGAGGGAGCAGCATGCTCGGAAGAGACAACCGCAGCTCTGAATCCCAGCCCAGAGCCTGTAACCCTGGTTACCCTGATTAAGCTCTGGAAAGCTACAAAACAAAGACATGAAGATGAAATTAAAGTTCATAACAGGAAAACTAGAGATTGGGGCTCCCAGGGCTGCTTCCTGGCTATTAGCACAGCTTCATCATTTTTTTCTCCCTGTGCAGCACTTTAATGTTTAATAGCCTCTGTGAAATGGGGATGTTTTCTAGCAGAGAGCAGAGGTCATTATTTCACTGTTAAACCCCTCCGTCTCCCTGTCTGTCGCAGCATGATGTCCTCATGAATATGCAGATTTATTTGGGTCTATGATACATGCCAATCATGGGGCCAACACTTAACCTACCAGTGACAGAGAAAATAGAAAAACAGTGTTGGGGCATATTTCAGATGCAAAAGAACATTTGATTAGCCTCTCCATTTAGAGCCCCCTGTCCCATGTCCAGTATCATTGAGCATGTGTAATCCTAAGCCTAAGAGATGTGATTTCAGGAATAGTCATTTAAACACAATATTACATTAGAATGGCACGCCTCCCAGACACCGCAAACCAGGTTTTAAACATTTGGACCATGGAGAAGCACTAGTTAAAATGAAATAATTGCCTTATGTGGATTCCTCACACCATCCCTTACTTAGAAATTTATTATGTGGATAGGAAAATAGGGAAGAATGTTTGAGGCCATTACTATAATAGAGAGCATATGTAATAGGAAGGCACAGACACATTGATGGAGAGCCATTATTTCAGGGTTATGTAATGACTTTATACTTCCCAAGGCCCTCATGCAGTAGGGTTTATTACTTACTCTTTCTTTGGGAAAAACGTTAAAGAGCTCTAAACTGAGCAGATCTGCCCGTGCAGTCCCCATTTAACTAATGAGAAAGCAAAACACAACCTGTGAAGAGTAAAGGAAGCCGCTTGGCTGGGGAGGAGCCCTGCTCACATGTTGAACCTTGGTCTGCAGGATCGGCTGTACTTCGTCATGGAATATGTCAACGGTGGGGACCTCATGTACCACATTCAGCAAGTAGGAAAATTTAAGGAACCACAAGCAGTGTGAGTATTATTTTTAAAGTTCCTTAATTTGAGCAACCAAGTTCTACCAACTGGAAACTTACTTTTTTTTTTTTTTTCCCCTTGAGATGGAGGTCTCACTCTGTCACCCAGGCTGGAGTGCAGTGGCGCGACCTCGGCCCACTGTATCCTTCGCCTCCCGGGCTCAGGTGATTCTCCCACCTCAGCCTCCTGAGTACTGGGACTACAGGTGCGCACCACCATGCCTGGCTAAATTTCTGTGTTTTTGGTAGAGATGGGGTTTCACCATCTTGCCCAGGCTGGTCCCGAACTCCTGAGCTCAAACTGTCTACCCATCTCGGCCTCCCATAGTGCTGGGATTGCAGGCATGAGTGAGCCACCATGCCCAGCCTCAGCTGGGAACTTCTGCTGGATGAAATGGGAAAGTGGGATTCTGCCCAGTTTTAGGTTGAATAAGCCTAAACATGGGAGGCGGGGGCAGATACACTGGTAGGATCCATCTAAGATGATTCCTAAGGAGCAGTTTATTCTATTTCCAATATTTCCAGTAAACTGGAGATGGTGCCGTGTCCCCTCATCACCCAGATCCACCCTCATTGACGGAGTCATTCTTATCTATTGAACAAATGGTTATCACACACCTGCTCTGCACCAGGCACTGGGGGTATGAAAGGAACGAGGTGCTCCCTTTCCGGAGGGAGTTCACCCTCTGCCCTGGAGTCGGAAAAGTCACCTAACAATTAATAGTGCGTTGCTGTAACTTTAGAGACTGGCACAGGATACCACACAAGCCCCTAAAAATCAGGGGGAGAGGGAAGTGCGTCCCCAGGAAATGCCTAGCTCAGGTGGGGGAAGAGCCTTCCAGGAAGAGGTGTGAGCAGAGGCAGAAGCAAGTCCAGGGAAGCAGCCTTGCAGCTCTTCAGGTGTGGGAGATGCTCTGAGATTATTTGAGGGTGGGGGAGTTGGGGGGAGCCTGGTAGGTGGGGCTCTGGGTGAAGAGCCTGGTAAGGAGCCTGGCTGCGGAGGACGGAAGAGGGAAGGCACTGCAGTGGGGCTTGCACCGTCAGATTCAGTTTTTGCAGAGCTCTCTGTCTGGGGGAAGAAGGAAGCATGAATGGGAATGTAGAGGCCTGTGCAGGCGCTGGTGGGACCCTTTATAGATGAGAAGGAATGGAGCTGTAGTTAGGGCTTGACCTTGGAGCCAAAGAGGAATAAGTGTCTTTGAAAAACATCCTGGAGGAAGAAAAGCAGAACTTACTGTGGAGGAGAGAAGAGAGAAACCTCTTCCAGTGAGACCCCATTTTAGGCTTGGGTGGGGGCAGCCACCAAGGAGGAGGTGGTTTGGGGGTAGATTCATGAGCTCAGTTAAGAATGTTTTATTGGAACGCACCTTGCGTGACGGGATGCGGGAGTTGGCAGCACAGGAGGAAGACGTGGGCTCCAGGTGAAGATGAGAGATTCATCTGAGGGGTGTGGGGAACTGGGACTTTGGTGCTGGAAACATCATCTCACCTCTCAGGGGCCAGGAGGTCTCAGGAAACACCAGCGGAGTAAGCCTAAACAAAGGGCGAGTTTAGTTCCCCAGTGAGGAGGCCTCATGGGCATGTACCCTGATGAATGAAGTCAGCAACTGTTAATAGGATTCTGGCTGCTGTGCCATCTAAGAGATACATTGGAAGAATTTTTGGCCTGCGAGGGATTATCCACCCTAGGGAAGATTAACTGAAGGCAGAATAGGGAAATCTTTGGTTGCAAGCTTTAAAAGTGTGAAGGGAGATTTTTCTGCCCTTATTGTTCCTTTTCAGTTTTCAGAAATGCCTGTCCTTTTCTTCTGTCTGATGTTGTAGTTATAAAGCCTTAAAATACTCAGATTGTAAAATAAAGCCTGGTCACACAGGACTACAAACAGCAGATAGCACAGAGTCACCCTATGTTATGAAGTACTGTAAAGGTGTCTGGTCCAATATCCTTTCATTATATTATTTGTGTTGCAGAAAAGTTTAGAAAAGCATGAAAAATAATGTAAAGATCACCTGTAGTAATCCCATCTCTTCACCCTCCCCCTTCCTGTACTCTTCTAGCCTTCAGAGGTGGCCCCTCGTTAAGGGTTTGGTCTTGTCATTAGAGATTTTTTTTTCTCTGCTGGTGTAGACACATGTGCTTACTTTGAGCCTTCTGCATGTGATATTAGCACAGGCACAGTCTTGTGGCTTCTTGGACTTCAGAGACTCCTGAATGCTATGCAGATTTTTAAATATTCGCCCCCTTGTAATCTGAGTTTCAGCTATTAAGCTATTAACAATTTTGAAGTGATGGTAGTTACTGCTTTTTATTATGAATTATTTAAAAGAGTAAACTCAGATATGAATCATGATGTGTGTCTCATTTATTCCAACACTTGGAAGGAATGAAAACACTAGCTAAAGAGTTCATCACCCACTATACTTTGCCTTCCAGGGAGTAATTGTATTATACTTTCAAACACCAGTGTATTCTGTCAGTGAATAGGAAAATGGAAATTTTCTCTACTCTGCCATACTCCTGACATAGAATAGTCCAACTGGTATCCATTCTTTAAATGATTGTATTAGAAATTACTCTGCAGGCAATAAGCTACTTGGCCACCTTCCCCATGCGAAAATAAGAAGCCGGCCTCATTGGTTTTATTAGCTGTCTCATTCACGGATGAACTGGAGGACGAAGTGATGGAAGGAGGACTGGGGATTGGAAGAACACGTGAAGGCGATGCTGGTCTCTGAAAGCCTCTGGGTCCAACATTCTTTTCTCTCTTTGATGCTTGAACTTGAGAATGAAAAGTATATAGGCATCTAAAGAAGCAAGCGAGAAACCTGAAGCCTGTTTTCTTTTGCAGATTCTATGCGGCAGAGATTTCCATCGGATTGTTCTTTCTTCATAAAAGAGGAATCATTTATAGGTGTGTATTGAAGCCCTCCTACCAGCAGCTCAGCAGAGAGGTTAGCAGGGCTTCTGTGGGCATGTCACTCTGGAATGGCGACTTAAGATGCAGAGTTGATAACCCCCTAGGAGGAACAGAGACCTGCTGGGACCCACCTTCCTCCTCACCCTGGAAGCAAATCAGAGCCTCCTTCTGATTTCTAGACCTCAAAGATTTTATATCTTTTTTCTACTTTTTCCACAAGAAAACACATTTTTCTCTCCATTGACAGCTCCTTCCACTGCCTTGTCCTTGGAATGGAGGTCAGGGAGCAATGGAAACTGAATTCCTGCTACAGATGTTCAGCAGAAGGAGAACACAGGGAACTGGGGAGAGGCAAGGAAAGAAATCTGTTGAATTAAATTCTTCCTGTTAGTAGCTGCGCTGAAAGTCTGGTGCCAAAGAAGGAAGAATTTCTTCCAGTATTAATTGAAGCATAATTAGAAGGATATATGGCACAGGCAGAATGGAAGGGACATGTGTATGACCCAGTGAGGTGGTTCTAAACCCGTGATTTTGCAAACCTGGTCGTGTGTCAGACCCCCTGTGTGGGACATGAATAAATCAAATGATTGAGATTTCCCCAGATGTGCTCAATTGGACTCTCTAGAGTCACAGACACAGGCAAGATTGGGAATCACTAGTCCAGTCGTTTAGTCATCCATTCAGTATGCATTTAAGCACCTGCCATAGCCCAGGCACAATATTAGTCTCTGAAGATATCAACACACAGTAACAACTCCTGATAACTGCTCTCCGGGGACTTATAGTTAATATTGCCATTGAGCTGACAGGTATTCAAATATCCTTCTATTTCACCAGTTCCAAAGCAAACCATGTTATGTCATGGGAAGGACTCTGATTTAACCTGGTTCCTTGCAGGGATCTGAAGTTAGATAACGTCATGTTGGATTCAGAAGGACATATCAAAATTGCTGACTTTGGGATGTGCAAGGAACACATGATGGATGGAGTCACGACCAGGACCTTCTGTGGGACTCCAGATTACATCGCCCCAGAGGTAGGAACTCCGGTGCTCGTCTTCTAGACCGGGACTCCCAAGCTGTAAACACAGTCCTCTCATGGGATATGGGGTCACTGGCGAATCATGAAGTCATTGCATGGTCATGACCACTAAATGGATAAACTGGACAAAATAGACTAAAATAGAGGAAAGAGGAGAGCCCATTGCACATAGTAAGGTTGTGTCTTGCTTCCTGGAACTATTATTTGCTCCATGTGAACCAGTTGCTTGGGAAATTGCATTTCTTACATGGTCATGGTCAAAATCATTTAAGAAACACTGTTGGCCGGGCGTGGTGGCTCATGCCTATAATCCCAGCATTTTGGGAGGCCGAGGTGGGTGGATCATGAGGTCAGTAGTGCAAGACCAGCCTGGCCAACATGGTGAAACCCTGTCTCTACTAAAAATACAAAAAATTAGCTGGGCATGGTGGTGCATGCCTGTAATCCTAGCTACTTAGGAGGCTGAGGCAGGAGAATTGCTTGAACCCAGGAGGCGGAGGTTGCAGTGAGCTGAGATCACGCCATTGCACTGCATTGCATAGCGAGACTCTGTCCCCCCAGCCCTTCCCCCGCAAAAGACAACGCTGTTGAGTGGAGGGAATTGATTGTGAAAATACTCTGCGTGAAAAGCGGGGTGAGAAGGTGGTTGCAGTGATGGCGTTTTAGCAGCATCGGAGTGATGACTGTTCTAAACTGCATGTTGTCTGGTCTAGGAAGAACGTATCAGTGTGGTTCTAAGCAAAATGGTTCTGGGACTTGTATCTTGACAGCAGCGGCCCGGGTGCTCTGCTTTTGTTACAACACTTACTGAGGATTTTTTTTTCCTGTTTTATGAAACATCCCACATGCCAATGATAGAATTGGTTGTCACTGTAGAGCCAACTTTCCATCCACACACGGTCCTGTGGATGCCACAGTTTCTTCCCATCTGAACCCCAGCATGGTGGAGACCAACGCATCCAAAGCTGAGCCGGCTTCAGCTCTTCATACAGCCCTCAGATGAGCTGCTGGCAGCCGGTCTCACATGTATTCAACAGATTACCCCATGCATTTATCTCAGAGACAGTAGGGACAGTGAAAAAGGCACCCACAAGCTCAGAAGTCAGACCAGTGTGAGCTTCAATCTGGAATCAGTTATTTACAGGCTGTGGGGACTCGGGTGAGTTACTTAACGTCTCTGAACCCCGTTTCTTCAGCAGCACATTGGGGATAATATCCTCCTTGTAGAATTGCTGTGTGGATCAAAGTGCCTAATACAACATTTTGCATCTCGTAGACGCTCCATAGTCATTATTCCAAAAGGGAAGCTGCTTTTTATTCCTTTGTGAAGACCTTTTACTTTTATGATATTTCAAGACTGTGGACACGTAGACTTCATTTAGAAATTTAAATTCTGAATCGCATGGCGAGGGGTGATATGTGATCTTACTGGATAACTTACTGGGATTTTCCCCTAAAAGAACTCCCTTGTTAGCACTTCCAGACACGAGGTGAAATTAAGTAGTCTTATTTTTCAGATATGAATAGACAGGGTACTGTTAGAAATACAACCTCTTGATGTAGTATTTATTCCAAAGCCTGTTACTAGATGACAGGTATTAAGCAGGCTGTGATTATGAGACATTCAGGCTTCATTTAACAATTTAGCAGATGCTGTAAAAGCTTAGTAATGGGGAATGGCAGCATTTTTAGGAATAAAGGTGACATTGAACCTCATCTCTATTAAGACCAGGTCTCTCCTGTTCCGACAAATAACTCCTTGTGTTCAGTAACACCTCAGCTATCTCATAACACCAGGAGCAGCGGTGTCTGGCAGAGATGAAATTTTCCATATCATTAAGATTTGTCCGTTTGAGTGTCTTGTCTTTTTTCATTGTCGCGTTTCGGTATCATTCACGGTATGAGTTCCTGTTGCCACTGTAACAGATAACCACAAACTCAACGGTTTAAAATAACTCAGATTTATGTTGTGGTTCTGGAGATCAGAGTCCAAAATCGGCCTCACTGGGCTGAAGTCAAAGCGTGGGCAGGGTTGGTTTCCTCTGGAAGCTTTAGGGGAGAACCTGTTGCCATCCATGCCTTTTCCAATTTCAAGAGGCCACCTGCATTCCTTGGCTCGTGCCTTCTTTCCTCCTCCATGCAATGTAGCATCTTCCAATCTCTGTCTTTTCCGACTACAACTCTCCAGCCTCCCTCTTCTCCTACAAGGATCTTTGGGATTATATGGGGCCCACCTGGATAATCCAGGATCCTCTCCCTACCTCAAGATCCTTCATTTACCTCTGCAAAATCCTTTTTACCGCATAAAGGTAATATATTCACAGGTTCCAGGGATGAGGATGTGGACATCTGTAGGGGAGAGGGGACTTAGTCTATCAAACTGGTTATGTGTTGGAGAACCTTCTCACCGTCCCCAACAGGGACACCTAAACACACTTCTGGCATGTCTTGGTAACTTCAGGCATCTTCGTACACAGAATACTCTGCTCTCACTCTAGATACTTTCACATCTGAAGCCTTCATTCCCCTCCTTACATCTACTGTTCAAGCAATAATAGAGGAAGTGACTACCTTCTATTGTCTACCGTGTGCCAGGCACATGATAAACCTTCTCTTGGCTGGGTGCAGTGGCTCACTCCTGTAATCCCAGTGCTTTGGGAGTCCGAGGCAGATAGATCAATTGAGGTGGAAGTTCGAGACCAGCCTGGCCAACATAGTGAAACCCCGTCTCTACTAAAAAATACAAAAATTGGCTGGGCGTGATGGCAGGCATCTGTAATCCCAGCTGCCCAGGAGGCTAAGGCAGGAGAATCGCTTGAACCTGGGAGGTGGAGGTTTCAGTGAACTGAGATTGTGCCACTGCACTCCAGCCTGGGCAACAGAGTGAGACTCCGTTTCAAAAAAAATAAATAAATAAAATAAACTTTCTCTCATTTAATCCTCATGACAAGCCCCACAGGGAGGTAACATCAGACCTGTGTTTCAAATGAGGTGACAGAGGTGGTGAGTAACGTGTCTAAGGCCATGTTACTGAGAAATGCCAGAATTAGGCTTCGATTGCAAGCCCAGGTCACCTCTAAACCTTTGCACTGCTCACTACACTAAACTACTGGAAACTTTGAGTGAGTCACGTGTCCAGACAGCACTCTGCGTGCTTTCTGTCTTTAAGTGTGGTGCCACAAGGGATACAAAAATACATCAGATGGCCCTTGCCCTCCAAGTGCTTTCAGTTTATAAGAAGTGACATCATACTGACCAGCAGGAACAAAAATCTATATGTGGATTCCAGTTGGCTTTCATTGAAAACATCAGGCACCACTGCTTTGGAGAATCAATCAATAATCACTTTAGGTTGTTTCACCTTTTTTGTTGGCGTGTGTGTGTGTGTGTGTGTGTGTGTGTGTGAGTGTGATGGAGTCTTGCTCTATTGCCCAGGCTGGAGTGCAGTGGCGTGATCTCAGCTCACGGCAACCTCCACCTCCCAGGTCAAGCGATTCTCCTGCCTCAGCTTCCTGAGTAGCTGGGATTACAGGCACCAAGCCTGGCTAATTTTTGTATTGGTAGTAGAAACAGGGTTTCACCATGTTGGCCAGGCTGGTCTTGAACTCCTGACCTCAGGTGATCTACCTGCCTCGGCTTCCCAAAGTGCTAGGATTATTTTTTTTTTTTTTTTTAAGACAGAACCTCACTCTGTTGCCCAGGCTGGAGTGCCACAGCTCACTGCAGCCTCAACCTCCTGGGCTCAGGGCATCCTCCTGCCTCAGTCCCTGGGTTGCTGGTACTACAGGTATATGCCACCACCTGTGCCTAGCCTGTTCCAGCTTTGCTAGCATTTTTTCCTCCTGAGTGTTCAGTAATTTGTCATATTTGGCCACACGGATACTTACAGTATAGAGAAAGATCAAATAGGTTCAAGGTTTCAGAATGTGTGGAAAGGTTAAAATAATCCTGTCCTCTGTGCAAATACTCCTGTCAGGCAGAGACAAAATCATTATCTCGCATGGCATTTTCCTTAATAGGCAAAGCGGAGGCTTAAGTATTTATGGCTATTTGTTCAAAAACCTTGAAATCGATTAATACTGTAGCATCTCCCGAGCCAGCGAAGCCAAACTGAGGTGGAAAACGTCACTGACAGATGAGAGTTTGAAGTTGAAATGGACACCCACAGAAGGAGCACTCATCAGAAAATGATTCCTAAAGCTGACAGAGGGTCTTCTTCGCTTTGACATAGAAAGAATACTTCGGGGTGAATGAGAGTCCTTGAGCAGGCCGAGCAAAGGCTTGATTGGGATTTAATCCGTCTCTGAAAGTTAGTTATTTTAGACGTGTGAGATCCAGTCACAAGTCAAGTAGCTCCCAGCAGCCAAGAATCAGACTCCAGACACTAGCATTGCGCACGCTCTCCTGGAAGAAAGAGAAGCAGCAGGAAGAGTGTCTGCTGCTGGCCTGTTTCCCGAGAACCCCCTGCTGCAGTGAGAGCAAAGCTTTTCATTTTATTTATTTTATATAATTTTGTTCTATTAATTTTATTTTTTTAAAGACAGTTTTGGCCGGGCGCGGTGGCTCACACTTTGGGAGGCCGAGGCGGGAGGATAACAAGGTCAGGAGATCGAGACCATCCTGGTTAACATTGTGAAACCCCCATCTCTACTAAAAATACAAAAAATTAATCAGACGTGGTGGTGGGCGCCTGTAGTCCCAGCTACTCGGGAGGCTGAGGCAGGAGAATGGTGTGAACCCGGGAGGCGGAGCTTGCAGTGAGCTGAGATAGTGCCACTGCACTCCAGCCTGAGCGACAGAGCAGGACTCTGCCTCAAAAACAAAGACAGAGTTTTGCTCTGTCGTCCAGGCTGGAGTGCAGTGGCAATCATAGCTTCCTGCAGTCTCAATCTTCTGGGCTCAAGTGATGCTTCCACCTCAGCGTCTTGAGTAACTGGGACTATGAGCATGTGCCACCATGCCTGCTAATTTTAGAAAATTCTTTGTAGGGACAGG